TCTCCCCCTCTTTCTCTGTAACATGGCCTTACAAATAAGCAAATAAATCTTAAAAAAACATTTTTAAAAAGAAAGAAAAGAAATCGAGGCTCAGACAAGATAAAGAAGTTACCTAATGGCATACACTCAGTAAGGGGCTCTGTTGGGCCTTCAGATCATTATTCAACCACCTCTAACAGAAAAGGAAAAACCAGTTTACTATGACTGACTTGGACAAAACCACCTTCAAAAATGTTTACTAACCATCGAACTATTTTTTTTAGTAGATATTAAGCAAAGGAGTTAAATGAGACAGCTTAGAACTATCTTTGACTCACTTAAATGAAACTGAAAGTGCAGCTGTCTATTAAATAGGAAACTGACTGAGATATTACATGGAGAAGCACGATACGGACTTAAGGAGATGATGTGTTATTCTGTCCAAAGAAATGAAGACGTAGCACTGCTCAGGCTGCACTGGGAGACATAATTTTGGAAAACACTAGGGTAGCAAGAAATTGCCAAGTCTCATAATTAATCAGGGATCAATATGAAGAGATCTCATCACTGTGAATTACTGATTGATGAGTTTAAGTCTGAAAGATTTGGAGTAGGGAGAACTTATGAGCAGCAGTATAGCCTTTTTTAACTTTTTTTAAAATTTACTTATTTATTAGAAAGGCAGAGTTACAGAGGCAGAGGCAGAGGCAGAGAGAGAAGGCTTCTATCTGCTGGTTCACTCCCCAGATGGCCACAACAGTCAGAGCTAGGCCAATCTGAGCCCAGGAGCCAGGAGCTTCTTCCTGGTATCCCATGCAGGTGCAGAGCCATCTTGTACTCCTTTCCCAGGTCACAGCAGAGAGCTGGATCAGAAGTGGAGCAGCCAGGACTCAACCAGCGCCCATAGGGATGCCGGCACTGCAGGCAGTGGCTTTACCCGCTACGCCACAGCGCCAGCCCCAGCAGTATAGTTTTAGCACACATCTGTTCCAAGCTATCCAAACCAAAATATTACATTTTAGTCTTTGGAGTTCCAAACCAACAACCTAAACAGAGGAAACCTATAGATAAGAGGAAAAAACTTTCATCACTTCTAACATGAATGTACAACTCTAAAACAATCATTCCCCAAGGTTTTTTAAGCTAAGAATCTAGTTTCTTTATTTTTATTTAATGCTCACTTTTTATCTGAAAAGCAGGGAGGCAGAGGAACAAAGATCTTCCATCCAATGATTTACTCCTTGAATGTCCACAACAGCTAGGGTTGAGCCAGGCCAAAGCCAGGAGCCCAGAACTCAATCTGATTCTCCCACATGGGTGGCAGGGACCCAAGTAATCTTATCACCATCTGCCACCTCCCAGGGTCCACGTTAGCAGGAAGCGCGACTAGGGCCGGGCTGAAACCCAGGCACTCCAATAGGGATGCAGTTATTCCAAGCAGCAACCAAACTGCTGAGCCAAATGCCTATCCCGGAGATCCCGCTCCTAAGGAAAGAAAGCTCTGGCAGAAACTTGGCTAAAGCGCGCTACACAAGCTCCTCCCACAGCCCCCGCAGATGCCATTTTTCTCAACTGCTTTATCTGCAAATGAGCTCCTCCAGATGATCAGAAAGCTAAAGTCTTCCAGAGCGGGCAGGAGCCTTGCCACACCTGGGCACCAGTGCACCATCCTGCCTCCTGCCAGCAGGTTCTGCCAGGCTTGTGACAACAAGCCCAGAAGAAACAGCACGGGAAAGATGGGGAAATCACAGAAGGTTTGAAAGGGAAGATGACTCTTCCTAAGCAGCTCACGGCCTTGAACGTTATACTGCTACGGCCTACTAAGAAGGCTTTGCCAGCTCACTAGTCCATTCACCTGACTGCACATGCGTGCAACTTGGAAGATTTTGCAAGCCGGGTCGAACGGCCAGTTCTGAACACGTCCTGCTCACAGAATGATTTACAATCACCGCTCACCATACACACTCATTACTCAACATGCCACCAGGCCTAAGTGCACCACAAGCACTCTGTCAGCAAATATTTATCAAAGTAAATAAAAAGAAAACGAGGCAACCCCGGCTGTGCTCTACAATGACACTCTTACATCCAACTACCAACTTTCCTTCTCCACTTGGATGCATCTCAAGACGTAGCACATAATTCAAATGAGACAAAACATAATTCTCCTTCATCTATCTGCCCCACCCGCACCCCAGACAGTCCCTGTCTCGGACAGGGCCCCACCTACATAAAGCGAGTCCTGTTTCCACCACCTAGTCTCCCTTCATATCCACTCCGTGGCACCCTGGTCCACTCCAACCCCCGACTCTATCCGTTTCTCTCGAGCTTCACAGTGACCTCGGCCCACCAACCCTCTTGTCTCCTAACTTGCATTTCTCACTGATCCCATTACCTAGTCCTTCCCTAGACAGCAGGTCCACCCCACAAACTAATCACGGCAATCTATCAGTCCTTGGTTTGAAAGGCTACAAAAGTGTCACAGTGCTGTCAAAGTTCAAACTTCTTTTTTTAAATAGTTTTTTTTTTTTTTTTTAATTTGACAGGTAGAGTTATAGACAGTGAGAGAGAGAGACAGAGAGAAAGGTCTTCCTTCCATTGGTTCACTCCCCAAATGGCCACCATGGCCGGCACTGCGCCAATCTAAAGCCAGGAGCCAGGTGCTTCTTCCTGGTCTCCCACGCGGATGCAGGGGCCCAAGCACTTGGGCCAACCTCCACCGCTCTCCCGGGCCACAGCAGAGAGCTGGACTGGAAGAGGAGCAACTGGAACTAGAACCCGGCGCCCATATGGGATGCCAGCGCCGCAGGCAGAGGATTAACCAAGTGAGCCACGGCGCCGGCCCCCAAAGTTCAAACTTCTTAACATGACCTCCAAGTCCTCTCTATTCTAGCCCCAATCTCCGTTCCTATCATCTTTGCTTTACTACACTCACCCCCACTCCTCACCTACCAATCCTCACCCGTACAGCTTTCCACTCTACTTTCTGTTCCTAGTCCCGCCTCAAAGCCCTTCCCTTACCATTCCTTCTTTCTGGAAGGCCAGCTGTCTCTAGTCAGACCCAAGGACATTCTTCACACATCTTCTGAGGCTTTCTGGAAGACCCTATCAACTATTACACTCTGCCATCACTCTCCATTACATGGCTCTTCCTCTATTTTCTGGGATGGAAAACCAGGAACCTTCTATGTCTTGTTTGTTATTGTATCCCAGTGCCCAGCACATAGAAAGTGCCAAATTATTTCCATGAATACAACCAATACGCACTGCTATGTGCTAGGGACTATCTAGGCAACGAACAGACAAGACAAAGACCTGGCTCTCACAGGACGTTCTCTGAAGGGAAGAAGGCTAACACTAAGGGATGATAAACAGCAAGAAAAATGAGGAGAAGCAAGATGGAGTGACGGAAGAATACTATTTGATGTAGAAAAGTACAGAGGGCCTTGCTAGTAGGACAGCATTTGGACAGCGACCTGAGGACCATAAGGAGGCTCACCACAGAGCCATGGGCACCTTCCTCGGGCTGCGAAGTGTGAAGCCCTGAGCAGGGGTTCCATCGTAGAGACTAATGAATACGGTGGAGAGCCTAGGAAGTAAGATCCGAGTGGTCTGGGGCTGGGGAGGCCTTGAGGAACACTCTAGGAACTTGTACTCGTGCAGTTGAGAAGACACAGGTGGGTCATGGGAGGAGCACTCACAGGACCCGATTTATGTTTTGAAAAGATCACTCCAGGTGTCCAGTAGAAAAGACTGAGACGGGACAAGGTTGGAATGACTGCAGCGAGCAAAGGCAAACGACGAGGAACCGTATCCTGCATACGGGTTTAAGGCAGCGTCGACAAGATTTGCTGAAAGACTGGGGCTACGAGAGAAAACATCCTCCAGGATGACCCCACAGCTACAAGCTTGAACCCTGTAGTAACGGAGCTGCTATTTGCTACTAAAGCAACGGAGGAAAGGGCACATTAAGTCTGAGAGAGACGCCCGGAGGTCATCCAAATGGTCATTTCACGCAGTCTGTTGGGTGTGCCAAACTGGAAATCAAGAGACCAACCTGGGCTGAAGATAGTTACACTGTATTTCAATGTATCAGCCTTCCGGTTATACAAAGTACTTAAAGGTGAAGCTGCGTGAGGAAGAGGTTCTATAAGTGATCCCCGGGGCACATCCCAACACTCCAAAGTCAAAAAAGGATGAAAACCAGCAAAGGTGACCAAAAATAATAATAATAATACCCACAAGGAAAGGGAAGACAAGGCCAAGTAATGTGTTGAAATTGTCAGCTCATGGAGTCTCATTCCACGGATTACAAATTTAAAATCACAAAACCTACTGAACAAAAATAACCTCCAAGAAACGAACATTCTCTGGGCCCGAACATTATCCTGGGCTGTTTCCTCCGTGTCAAAGAAAATAACAAGGCCTCCACTTCTGGAGCAATCTACTCCTTACTCATTCCTTCATATGCTCAATCAAGTATTACATGCCAGACACCAGGTCATGGCCTGGGGAGGGAACGCAGGAAAATAAACTCATTCTTTGAATATCTGCCTTTAAATCACTCCTGTTAAGGGGGGAAAAAAACTTTACACCCTCTATTAACATGAAAGCAACTCAGGCAGAAGTTGGTCAGGTTGACACCCCCACGCCACCCACGTGGGCGGCAGAGGAAGGTCAGAGGGCACTGCTCCTGCTGGACCCAGGCAGCTCAACAGTGGCGTCGAAAACACTAACGACTGACTTACCTTCTCACTGCCTCCATCACCGAATGCGGGGGCCGGGAAGCACAATCGTACTCTAAGAGTGAGGTCAGCCCTTCTCCCAAGACCAAACCCATGTCTCCAGGTACCCCCAGGCCCTCGCTCCAGACCTCCACAGGACCCCGCCCTAAACCGCTGGAGACGGACGCACTACAAATCCCAGCAGGCACCGCGCGCCCACCACAGGGCGGCCCCCGCCGCCCCGCCGCGGGGCCGTCTGGGGCCTGTAGTCTCCACACCCCCGTCGCCGGCCAGTACCTGGAAGCGATAGAGGAAGGCTTCGGGCCAGAGGAAGAAGTAGGCCGGGCTGATGAGGCCGAGTTTGCCGACCAAGGGCACCGCGACGGTGGCGGCGAACCAGTAGCGCGTGATGGCCGGGATGCTCCTGAACCAGTCCCCGATGTCCGACATCTTCGCCTCTCAGGTGGCCGGCGTGCGCACGGCCGGCCGCCTCACCCCCTGTGCCGGCCCCCTCACGACGCGGCCGGCTCCGCGAGTGGAAGGTGTGTAGGCGGAAGCCGCCGAAGCCGCGGTGCAGAAGGCGGAGACCGGCGGACGTGGCGCCACCGAATTCGGACGAGCGAGGCAGCGTTCCGGGGCAAAACTTCCCCTTCCGGCGGCGGTGGACGATGAGACCAGAAGTCCCGCCTCTTAAAGGGCGAGCGCCGATTTTTTTTTTCCAACAGCGAGGCCGTGGCTCGGGCTCCTGGGGCGGGGCCAGAAGGGGCGTGGCCGGGGCGGGTGGAGACACGACTGGTGGGAAACAGTGGTTGCCAGGAGCAACGGCAAATGCGCCAGCCAATGGCGAGGCCGAATTCCCTCCGCCGGGTTCTCGCCGGAGTTGTAATCCGGGTGCGCCCACCTGGAGGGTAAGTGGGGAGTTCGTTTATCTGTTCACTCGTTCCCCAGGTGTTTGTCAGGCGACGCTTCGTGGTTTTCTCATCTGGAATTTACGTCCTCAAGACGATGGACAGATAATAATTGATGGGCTACGACAATTTCAGAGACTGATAAGGAAAATAAAACGGGATGGTGGGGCAGAGCGACGGGATAGGAGAGGGGTGGGAGGAGAGATGGCTGCTTTAAGCTGAGGGTGGCCTGGGAGAGCTGCTTGGAGGAGGAAGCGTCTGGGCTGAGCCAGCCAGGCAAAGATGTGGGAGCAGAAAACAGTGTTGGAGGAACTGCGAGCAAAATAATCTGGACTACGAGTTCGGTTCGTCATGCTGGATGTAGATTCCGGGCAGACGCAAGTCGCTTTAAGATTCTTTTCGGTAGCACGCTTCTGTTGTTTTCACATTTAGGGCCTTCTGTGTTCAACAAAGACTTAGTCAAAGCTACACTCCGGGTCGTGATTGGATTATGGAAGGGGAGAGTTTGGAGTAAAAATTAACTGAAGCAGTGCTTCTGATAGGCTCAGAGCAAAACTGAGCAGTGTGAACAGGAGGCCTGGGATTGAGCTGAGAAGCAAACTCAAAGTCTTTTCCTTGGAAACCTCAGAGTTAAGATCGATGTGAAATGCTGGTTCTGAAAATTGATTATCTAAGCTTCATGCGTGGATTGAAAATCCTGCGTCTACACCGCCTGCATGGTTTAGACCCTCCAAGCAAGAATGGGATGTTCCACTGACACTGACAATCTCAAATAGCAGAGTTTCCAACGTTCTATTATTTTAGAAAACATTTGTCAGCACCATGTCCTTGGTCTCAACGAACAGTAGTGGTCTTTACCAGATAAAAAGGCACTATCTACAACTGATTGACCATGCAACATGTATCAGGCATAGCAAATATATGAGGAAACTGCTGGCTGGTACACAGCAGGTGGGAATATAAATTGGTACAATCTTACAAGATAATTTGATACAAAGTAAAAGCTAGTGTGTATATAACAGATGCTACTTGGAGATGGCCCCTCAGCTTCCTTCTCTACCCCGCCCTCATTTTTTGAACCCACTACCCATTATACTGAAGAGACACTTGGAGAAAATGGGGGTTATCTAGCTGAGACTGAGGACTAAGGAAGGTTTCTCCGGTGAATTCATTGAGTGCATGTGCACACACACAAAAAGACAAAAACAGTATTCGCTCAATGTATAGCAGTATTGTGCTCTCGACAGGGAGTGTTCAGGAATTCAACCTCAGACTTTAGAAATTAACAAAAGTTAAATAATGGCAATAGCACTTATTAGCAATACCACTGGAAAACTTACGTAACCATTCTGCCGTTCAGTTCCTGTAGCTATAAAATGGGGCAAAAGAAGGGAATAATGGCATTGAACTCACAGGACTGTGGTGAGGGTTGAAATGAGAGAAATTGATTCCAGCACTTGAAGTGGTATCAATGTTATCGCCATTCTCTTTTTCACTTTGTTGTCTTTTTGAGATGTTTGCTAGTGAAAGTGTTGTCATTTTGTAAGTTTTGAAAGGTTGATTAGTAAGAGTACCTGTCTGTCTGCAGATTGTCCTACCCTGAGGATGGAGCAGTTGTTTACAAATGATAGTGGGGATAAGGATTACCAATGAGTTCTTTCCGATCCCTCAGAGATGTCAAATTTCATAAGTCTGCGGTGGGCCTAAAACTCTGCAGTTTTCCAAAGCCCGTTCCTCCATTCTCTCAGTGCTTCTGACGCAGGGGATACACAGATGGTACTTAGAAAGCCTTCAGATCAGATGAGCATTCAGGGTTCTTGTTTCTCTGTAAAATCACTCCATCCATGTTGTAATAAACCACTCAAGACGTAAAACACAAAGGTGGTTTATTCCTAGCCATCTTCAATAGAGGACATCCCCAGTCTGCCCAGATGGCTTGCTGTAGAGTTTAATCACTTCACTTGTAAAGAAGTCCCTGTGTTTGCATCATCAAAATAAGCCATCATTAAAAAATAAAAACACAGCAGGTAAATGATCCCAGGCTGGATTCTAGAAACAAAATGTGGCGATGTGGAGCAAAGGGACACTCTCATGAGTTATTGATGAGACTACCCTGGCACAGCGTCTGCATACCGCAAGCAAGTTGGTGATGCTTAAGTGCACATCTAGGACGTTCAGCTTGAGATAGGATCCAACATCTTTTAAATGTGCAAGGACAGTTATTGCTGCATTTTTTTTTTTTTTGAGAGAGAGATCAGAAACAGCTGAATATCTGCTGATAAGAAATTAACTAGGGGCCGACGCTGTGGCACAGTGGGTTAACGCCCTGGCCTGAAGCGCCCACATCCCGTATGGGCGCCAGTTCTAGTCCCGGCTGCTCTTCTTCCGATCCAGCTCTCTGCTGTGGCCTGGGATAGCAGAAGATGGCCCAAGTCCTTGGGCCCCTGCACCCATGTGGGAGACCTGGAAGAAGCTCCTGGCTCCTGGCTTTGGATCGGCGCAGTTCCAGCCATTGCAGCCATTTGGGGAGTGAACCAGCAGATGGAAGACCTCTCTCTTTGTCTCTACCCTCTCTGTAACTCTGTCTTTCAAATAAATAAAATCAATCTTTTAAAAAAAAGAAATTAACTATGGCTCATCTGCATAATCCAATACTATGCAACATTTCTTAGGGAAAGATAAGCCCAAAGTGGGATGATCTGTAAGACATAGTATTAAGGATAAAAGAGTGACATGCATAGTATGCCACTGTATTGTACAAAAAGCACACAGAAATATAGGTACAGTATTTTCTTGAGACATTGGTTACCTTTGGGAAGAAGAACTAAGGCTGGGATAGGGTTGGGAAGATGTCTCAGCACCTATCCTTTTGTACCTTTTAAATGTCCTATGTACAAGTATGTGTACTATGTATTTAATAAGTTAGTTTTTTTATTTTTAAAAAGATTTATTTATTTGAAAGGCAGAGTTACAGAGAGGCAGAGGCAGAAACAGAGAGGTCTTTCATCCACTGGTTCACTCCCCAAATGGCTGCAGCAGCTGGAGCTGGGCCAATCAGAAGCCAGGAGCCAGGGGCTTCTGGGTCTCCCACATGGGTGCAGGGGCCCAAGCACTTGGGCCATCTTCTACTGCTATCCCAGGCCATGGCAAAGAGCTGAATCGGAAGTGGAGCAGCCAGGACTCGAACTGGCACCCATATGGGATGACAGTACTGCAAGTGGCAGCTTTACCTGCTACACCACAGAGCCAGCCCTAGAAATTAGTTTTTAAAACATAAGGTTTGGCCGGTGCCGCGGCTCACTAGGCTAATCCTCCACCTTGCGGCGCGGGCACACCAGGTTCTAGTCCCGGTCAGGGCACCGGATTCTGTCCCGGTTGCCCCTCTTCCAGGCCAGCTCTCTGCTGTGGCCCGGGAAGGCAGTGGAGGATGGCCCAAGTGCTTGGGCCCTGTACCCCACGGGAGACCAGGAGAAGCACCTGGCTCCTGCCATCGGATCAGCGCAGTGCGCCTGCCGCAGCGCGCTGGCCACAGCGGCCATTGGAGGGTGAACCAATGGCAAAGGAATACCTTTCTCTCTCTCTCTCTCTCTCTCTCTCACTGTCCACTCTGCCTGTCAAAAAATTTAAAAAAATAAATAAAACATAAGGTTTGTTCAGAAAGGAACAGGTTTATCAGAAATCAGATGAAGAAGTGAAAAAAATGGTTTTGAATATCTTTCTCGTTGTAAAACAGAACTTAGGAAAAATTACTGGAGGGAGACCAACTGTCAAGTCAGCATCACCTAGCGCGGCAGCGTGGTGCTGTGAAGCTGAGTGATGCTGTCCCAGAGGGCTGATGACCCAAATATGCTGTCCCAGCAGTCACAGAGGAATGCCACCCTGTGAGAGACCTGTCGCCTTCTTCAAGAAGTTCAAACCACATTGTAGATATGTAATTAATCCTTATGTTAATTAGAAGGCATGCTTATTAGTCCCACCTTACAAATAAAGATGCTATGGTGAGAATAATAACTTACCCTGTCATGCCTGGCAAAACCAGTCCTGTGTTTTTAGCCATGAGTCTGAGAAATTTTTCAAATTTTGACACACTGTGCTAGGAGACACAAGAGTTACTAAACAGCACACAAAGCATTTTTCATCTGTTACTGTGATACCTGGTGTGTGTGTGTGTGTGTGCATGTGCGTGTGTCTACACACCAAATAAAGTCAGCCTTCTACACCCTGTACAGGTATCTTCCTGGCTTCCTTCCTGTCCTGGCTGTCCTTTGCCGAGTGTGTCACCTGAGTTAGTCACTCACCTCTTTACTGACTCACCCAAAGTCACCTACTTTATGGTTGGTTGGTTGTTTTAATTGAGAGCCTGTTGTTTATCATGCCCTATGTTTGTACCTCACATGTATCGTCTCACCTCACCCTCATACTCATCCCCAAAGGCAAACTGAAACACAGGTTAACTAACTTAGCCAGTGTCACATAACTGGAAAGTTATGATCCAAATTCAGCTCCGCCTGACTCCGTCACTCATCTCTAACCACTCTACCTCCATGATAAATGTGAAAGTTCTTTATAAAATGAAGTAACACCTTGACACTAGGGACTCCATTTTGGAGAACCTGAGACTCCATTCTGGGAAGGTGCCCACCCACACACCGTGAGACTCTGGTCTGAAACTGTGACCTAAAACAGTTGAACAATAGCAGTCCACTACATCACACTTGGCAGAGCATAGAAACCCCCTAGCATGATCGCTCAAGCTTGGAAGTGGATAGGCTGCACCTGGGTTAATGATAATTTTATTTGTCTATGTCCTACATATGATTAAAACCAATACCTGGATTAATGTCAAGATTATAATTAAAATTGTTAAGATTGTGACTGTATTGTCAAGATTATAATTGATACTAGTTTCACATAGGTTTTAGGTCAGCTTAACCCCAGTAACAATGTATTCCTCCTGATCCTAGCAACCATGTATTCCCCTCCTGATTGTGTGGTTTTTGCCTTTATAAACACTGTTGCTTTGGGCTTCAGGGTCGAGAGTTCTTTAGAGCATGAGCCCACTCTCCACCACAGGCAATAAAGGACCATCAGATTTTATGAATGTGTGGTGCTCCTTTGTTTACACTCGCTCAGGCACAACAAAAACCTGCAAAGTATCTCTCAGGTTCTAGTTCCATTCTACTAACCCGCCACACAAGAGGCTAGTGCACGGGACACAAGAAATGTTAAATAAATAGGCTGGCTAGTCCAAAAGCATTTATGTAGGACATTTCTGGAAGAAAATAATCCCTTTCATATCCAACTTCTCTTAACTAACAATCCTGCAAGTCATAATAACCTGAACAACAAATCTAAGCAATAATTATTGATATTCATCAACTCAGTTTATATTTGTAATCAAAAATCATTCAAGATATGCCAAAAGAGGACCAGTAAGTATCTGAAATGTGTTCCTTCTGAATCAAAGGAAAATTGTTCAAGCCAGTGTTATGATGTAAGTGGTATTTAAATGCAGGAATCTTATTAGCTGATCTTGGACCCAAATTGTCATCCTTGGTGTAGACCTTCATAGAATTAAGACACAGGCAAACTCTCCAAAAAGACTAAAGTTGGTGTCACATCTGAAGAAAAAAATGTTAACCAGGGCCCTGAGTCATTGCAAAAACATAAAGCCTGTCTCCATCGTGACCAGGAAACAGCTGTTAACCAAAATGTAAATTGGGCTGAGCATGTGGTTAAAAACATTAGGGGTGGGTAGTTTCCTCAGATGGAACCAAGTAATGAGAATTTAGGGGAGGGAGAGTGCTTATTGAAAAGAGGAGACAAGTATGAAAAGTTTACCATCTTCTAGTGTTTTTCCATACACATTAATATCAGGTCTTTCATTTAACATTTTTAAGATATATTTATTTATTTGAAATGCAGAGTTACAGAGAGAGAGAAGAGAGACAGCAAGAGAGAGATCTCCCATCTGCTGGTTCATTCCCCAAATGGCCATATAAGCCAGGGATGGACCTGGCCAAAGTCAGGAGCCAGGAGCTTCATCTGGGTTTCCCATGTGGGTAGCAGGGCCCAAGGACTTAGGCCATCTTCTGCTGCTTTCCCAGGCACATTAGCAGGGAGCTAAATTGGAAGGGGAGCAGCCAGGACTCGAACCGGCACCCACACGGGATGCTGGCACTGCAGGTGGTGGCTTAACATGCTGTACCACAGCACCAGCCCCTAACTACATAAAAAAAAAAAAAAGCTTTCTCTATTTCTGTGAAACCTTTATCATTTTAATTACTGATACTCTACCAGTAATGTGGCATAAAGTTTGTGAGCTTTTTTATTAATATTCATTTGAAAAGTAGAGTGAAAGAGACAGAGAGGGGCCTGGCTGCTCCACTTCCAATCCAGCTCTCTGCTATGGCCTGGGAAAGCAGTGGAAGATGTCCCAAGTCCTTGGGCCCCTGCACCCATGTGGGAGATCTGGAAGAAGTTCCTGGCTCCTGGCTTCAGATCAGCAGAGCTTCGGCAGTTGCAACTAATTGGGGAGTGAACCAGCGAATGGAAGATCTCTTTCTCTCCCTGCCTCTCTTTCTCTTTCTTTTTAACTCTAATTTTCAAATAAATAAATAAACCTTTAAAAAGAGAGAGAGAGAGAGAGTGAAAGGTCACTTTTTTTTTTTTTTTTTTTGGACAGGCAGAGTGGACAGTGAGAGAGACAGAGAGAAAGGTCTTCCTTTGCCGTTGGTTCACTCTCCAATGGCCGCCATGGCCAGCGTGCTGCGGCCAGCGCACCGCGCTGATCCGAAGCCAGGAGCCAGGTGCTTCTCCTGGTCTCCCGTGGGGTGCAGGGCCCAAGCACTTGGGCCATCCTCTACTGCACTCCCGGGCCACAGCAGAGAGCTGGCCTGGAAGAGGGGTAACGGACAGAATCCGGTGCCCCGACCGGGACTAGAACCCGGTGTGCCGGCGCCGCAAGGTGGAGGATTAGCCTATTGAGCCACGGCGCCGGCCATGAAAGGTTCACTCGCTAAATGCCTGCAGTTTGAAGCCAGGAACCAGAAAATACATCTGGGTCTCAGGGACCCAAATACATCATCATCCGCTGCCTCCCAGGGTTTACCTTAGCAGGAAACTGGATCTGAAGCAGAAGTGGGACTCAGTCCCAGACACTGTGATATGGGGTGGGGGCATCCCAAGTGGCAGCTTAACCTGCTAAGTGGCTGCCCCCATCCTCCTATTTCTGATATTTGCTTTTCAGAGCTATATATAGCTTTACAATGACCATCTTTATACATATTTGGCTTGGTATACTAATAACTTATTTCACCTAACAAGTAACATTTGTTGAGTTTTAACAGTTGATTGGCTCCATTCAACATGGGGACAGACCATATTTAAACCATAACAGCCTCACCAGCCTCAGGAGATCCTTAAGTGAAGACCTCAAGGCAGCAAAGAGCAGGTAGGTGATGTCTTCAGGAGGAGCCAGTGCAGGTAGTGGGAACAGCAAGACCCTGGGGTGCAGTGTGCCTGGCACAGAGGCCATAAACACAAAGAACAGTGTGGCTGAGTGGAGGTAATGCAGTGAGGAGGGGTCATCTGGAATGGACCTCATAGGATAAAGAGATGAGCTTGCATCTCTCTGTTTCTACCCCTTAGCCTTCTGATAATTCTGTTGAATTCATTTCCAGGAGTGGAATTTTAAAGCAATAAAGCTGCAAACAACTGAATGACTGTTACTCTGAGGTGGTACAATTGTGAATCTGATCAAATTCAGGCTACAAGCCCCCTCATGTTCATGGATCTTTCCCAGGCACTGAGCAAAATGTTGCATTCACAATTTTATATTCTTTTTTTCTCTTTTTAAATGTTTATTTTATTTATTTTCATCTACCTGAAAGAAAAACAGAGACAGAGGCAGAGAGAGAGAGAGAGAGAGAGAGAGAGAGAGACAGAGAAAGCCCATTCACTGGTTCACTCCCCAAATGCCTACAACAACTAGGGCTGAGCCTGGCTGAAGTCTAGAAACTTGGAGCTCTATCTGGGTGTCCCACGTGGGTGGCAGCAGCTCAGGCACGTGAGCCATCATCCACTGCCTCCCAGGACTCATTAGCAGGAAGCTGGCTGGGAAGCAGAGAAACCAAGGCTCAAACCAGGCACCCCAAGCAGTGACTAACCCTCAGGCACCACAACACCTAACTTGAGTATTCTTTTCCTTAAATAGGGCACTCTTGATTTTTATAAACTTCAGACCCAATAAAAGTTGTATATGGGCTGGGCACTTGGCCTAGTGGTAAGCTGCTCACTGGGACACTTGCATCCCCTATCAGAGTGCCTGGATTCAATACCCACCTCTGACTTCTGATTCCAGTTCCCCACTAAAGCAGACCCTGGGAGACAGAAGATTATGGCTCAAGCAGTTGTGTCCCTGCCAGCTATGTCATAGAGCTGGATTGTGTTCCCTGGCTCAGCCATCCTGGGCATTTGAGGAGTGAACCAACAGATGGAGGAGTTCTTTGTCTCTCTCTCAAATAAATAAAATGAAAAACTTATATCTGTCCACTTGCTTCCTTCTGCCATCTCGCCTTTTACTTTAGAAAGCTCCTCAGACCCCAGATTCATATCCCCTTGAGCTCTTAAATTTGGCCAAAACCCAGTCATTAGCATTTGTTAGCAATTGGGAAGTTTGGGGAGATTCACAAGACTCTTGCTTAGGGCCCTTAGCTCACAGGTGAGGGTGCTAGACCCCAGCCAAGGGCAAAGTAATCCACATAGAGTGGAAGAGGACCAGGTGCCCCCGCCTTTTCAGCCAAGCACCCAGTCAAGTTTCTGTGTCCCTCAAGGGACCACTGCTGGCACTGGGCCCAGCCACAACCCATAGGACCAGCTTTCTCACCATCCACTGGCAAATCATGAACTGGTTTAGGAAACCAGCAAAGCAACTCTGTGGCTGTGTTCAGAATTCCCCAAAAGAAAACCCAAAATAGACTTTCTTTCATGGGTGTTTTGAGCTTTAGCATTGTTTCTGATTTTTAATTACAAACAGGTGTAGGCACCTTCATCTTTTTGGATATAAAGTCTGCCTCTTAAGGTCTCAATCCAGCCCTGCCTGCCCTTCCTCCTACTCAAGTCAAAGCTCTCCTCTCCCTTTCCCCGTTTTTCCTCTCTGAAAGAAAAAAAAAAAAAAAACTTTTAGATTCCTGGAGGAATAGCATCCCAGCATCCTCTGGCTAGAGCCTTGCAACGTTACTGAGTTTTATTACATAGACTCCAACAAGTATTGATTGCTTCCACCAGAAACAGGAAGAGGGGCTCAGACTGTGACCTCTAGGAGTGAGCTCCACAGAACAGACTTCAGATTCCCGATGCCTGAAACTGGTACATCGTAGGTGCCTGATAAATACTTGCTAACTGGATGAATTAATATTTATCCTAGCACCTTACCCTCCCCCACAGGGGAATACTGGGTTTTATGATTTGTCCTTCAACACTATATACATTTCACGAGTAGATCCTGGCCTCTCCACCTTCAAAATACAGCCCAGTGCAACCACCACACATGTCCATGAGGCTGCCTCATGGCCCAGCCTGGACTCTGCAGTAGATGCCCAGTTGGTCTCCCTGCCTCCACTGTGCCCCTCAATACTCTGTTATACCAGAACCTAAGTCAGAGTGTGCCATTCCCTTGTTCATGAATTCTAGTCTGAGTACAATGGAAAATGCCATGGAAAGTCCTTAGCATGACCTCCAGGACTCTGTATGATGTGAGCTGTTGCTACGCGTGTGGCTCATCCCTCCCACTTTCCCTGTGGCTCTACTCCAGCCCGAATACTATCTCTGCCTAGGACAGCCAAGGTGATGCACAGGATTGCTGCGTGTTTAGCCTGAAGCTTGGCTCCCCAGAGGAGCCCTGCTCAACCCTGGCTGACCAAACGCCCTTTTTTTTTAAGACAAATATTTGCTGCCCCAAAATAAAAACCATAGACTATAGATTACAAATGCAAGAAAATACATGAGATGTCTTCATTGTCATGTAAGAGAGGAATAAAAGGAAATTAGTTTATACCATATGTATTTTAATATGTGAATGCTCAGACACAACTACA